AAACCTATATTTTACCATGGTCACCAGGCAATGCCTTTGCACATTAACGGTGGAGAAACACTGACTTTTTAAATTAAGATACAATTGGCATATAATATTTTGTAAGTACGAGGTGTACATGTTGTTTTGATATACATTTATGTATTGTATATGAATACCGATGATTACTACTATAATGTTAGCTAACACCTGTATCATGTCACATAATTATCATTTCTTTTTTGTGTGTTGAGAACAGCTAATATGTAGTCTCTCAGCCACTTGGAAGTCTATAATTGTTTTGTTGATTATAATCACTATGTTGCACATTAGAGCTTCAGAAGTTATTTGTCTACTAGGTGCAAATTTTTAGAAACACTGATCCTTAAACAGAGATCATTTACTCTGACTGATGAGATTTACATTAAGAAAGGAGAGGAAAGAAACCCACATTCTATAATGAAATTGGAAACTATCACTTTAACATAAAGTTAAAGAATATAATTTTGTGTTTTAGTGATAAATGAAGATTGTGTAGTTGGGAATTTGGAATGTGACATGTCTGATTTCTGGCAAGCCCTTTGATTTCTTCTTTAAAATGAAATAGCTAAAGATTTATGTAATGTAAGTAATGTAAAACATGGGATTTAAGTTGCAATGTATTGTGATTACATTGCTATAATTATACATATTGGTGTATTTTATTAAATGGTTCTAACAGGATTCAGATAATCTGAAAATAATACGGAATCTATGGAAAACCTATGGAACAGTTTCAGTGGACATTTTGGGTGTGGCTTAAAGGTATAATATCTGACATATTTCTCAGTTATTTAAAAAGATTTGATTGTATTCATTTTTATATCCTCTCATTATATTTTATAACATTTCTAATTGGCTTTAGGAAGTTTCAATTTGATTAGTATTAAACTAATGGATACTTACCTTTACTCAGAATTCTGAGAATTTGGAATTCTACAATTTATGTCTCATGTAACAGAAAATGATACTAGTAATATATATGAAATCTTTTGTCCCATACATGAGGATTTTTAGATGAAATTCAAGAATCAGTTTTCACATATTGTCCTTCGCCAGTTATATGAAATTCGCATGTACTTAATCACTCTTTGAGCCCCCTGCAGGCAAACTGAAACCCTTGGCTGGCAATGGGTGAGGAAGAGAGAAACAGCCCCCACGTCCAAGAGCCCAGGGGCACCTACAACAAGTCTTGGCTCTCTGATGTTGAGTACAAGTGATTTCAGAGAATATCAACTCAAAAGACGCCAGTCTGTGACCTTGACTGATGAAGACCATAACAAGACCCCTGTGAAATCTGAACACAGAAAAACATAAACATTGTCCAAGCTACAAAATAGCAAATATCCCTTGCTCTGGGTCCATAGGAGTGACACCTGCCTCTCTTTCAATTTTAGCTGTAGCCTTGGTCTAAGTCTGCTCTTGATATAAATGACATTGATTAAAATATAATTTTTTGCAGCAAATCCTACAATATGGGCACCAATTCTCTTCCTCAGCCCCTTTGCTCATCAGCAGGCTGCCTTTGAGATAGGGCAGGGACATGAAACAAACATCATGATTAGGATTTCCTACCTATGATGAAAAATGGCAAGATAAGCAGTACAGTAACAGGAGGGGCCCCATCTGAAGGATAACATTCTATTTTAAAAACCAGGGAGTTAGGAGGTTGTAAGATTACTAACATATTCTTTGGTAATTAGCCAGCAACCTATCTTAAGGCAGGGCAAGAGCCCTAACTGATATGTTCCCAGTTCCCATATCTTGGAGAGGGCTACTGAGATCTCTGATTTGGGCTTGCAAATTCCTGTCGCCTGGGTGACCAGGACAGGACTGCAGCTGTGGATTCATACTCTTTAGTAGCCTGTCTGAAAATCTCCTTTCTTTGCCTCTGAATGTTCTCAGAACTTGATCTTCCTCCAGCCAGTGCTGTGCGGCTCCCCCAAGTCCTGGGGTGGTAGGGACTTAGTTCCCAGTCGTGCAGATGCAAGCAGACACTGGACGCCAGGTGACTCCGGCTTTCTGAGTTGGGAAGGGAAGTGCCCCACGCAGAGCAGTTCAGTAGGCTTCCCTTTCCTCCCTCTGTTCTTCCTTGCTCTCCGCTGCCTGCAGGCTGCTGCCATTCGCTGCTACTCTCACTTTTAATATTCTTTACTTACCTACACTCCTCAGACCTGTTCAAGAGTTCTTTCTCCTTCAGTCAAGAACCAT